GGTTGATTGACTTTCAAGTTGCATAGTTTAGGTCTAGGATTTCAGATTTGAGATTCAAATCGAATCGATGGAAATGGAATACAAATTGGCGAGATTCGCAGTTAACAGGGACAAAATGGATATCTTAGGGCTTGATTTGTGATCTTGCACAAATTTTTTCAAGGTTTTAGGGTTGATAGGGCTGATGGTGATGAGAGAAAAAAGAGAGAAAAGGAAAGAGAGGCGGCATGGGAGGTGGTACATGATTAGGGTTTAGGGGATCATCTCTGAGTTAAGATTCAGAGATGGAACAAGAGTCGTCGGATCTTTTGATCAATGGCTCCAATTGTTTTGATAACTAAGAATTTAGAAATGATTTAATGGGGAAATAGCGATGGTCATTGGATCTTTCTGATCAGACGGTTGAGATTGAATTTTAATAAGATTAAAGAATAAGAAGGAAATTGGGGTAAACCCGGACCATTGATGAGATGGATCGATGGTCCAGATTCTATTTGTGCTTTCTTTATGAGTGAGAGAGACGAACAACGTGGCACTCTATGATTGGTTAAGGGAGAGGGACGCGGATCGCCACAGTGGATTAGAGGGGTTGTTTGGACTGGGTCATTTCGATTGGGCTTGGTCATTTGGGCCAAAACTGATTTAAAGAATAACCACTTTGTGTTTAATTGAGAATTGCAATTATAGCCTTTAGCCTCTTTTGATCCCCTTTATAATTAAATTATATAAGCTTAATAATTTGGTAAAATTATATATACTAATAACTATTTTAGTTAAATATTTATAAATACTTCATTTTCAAATTATAGCACTAATTTCAAAATATTAACATAGTAATCTAATTAACTAAAAATTAAGGAGTAATTCATCAAATTAATTATAAGTCCTACGTGATTTGTGCGTGTGTGTGTGTGTCTATATATATATATATATATATATATATATATATATATATATATATATATATATATAAGGTTGTTTTAATAATCTTAAAATAGTAAGTATATTTTTAATTACATAATACTAATTCTAGGTGATTAATTTCAAAACTAATACTTAATTAATTTGTAAAAATAGGTATTTATTTATAGAAAATACTTTCAAAAATATTTATTGTAAATTATTAAGTATAAGTAAATTAATTTTAAAAGGGAGGATCAAAATTGATCGTCCATCGAACCCAGTTTAAATTAGGGTTTGAGGAGAGAGTAGCTCTGGAGAAAAAGTGGTGATCACTGGACGATTTTCTTTGAGAGAGCTTTAATGGCCGCTCCAGCCGGCGGCCAGCCCACTATTACGGCTGGTCTGCTTCCCCCCCCCCCCCCCGTCCATCGCCCCAGCCCTTGTTTCAACAAACACCAATGCCCAGCTTTTAGATTACTCAAAACTATTAAAACCCTCCACCATAATGCTTTAAATGAAGCAACGTAGGATTCTGTCGACCCTATACCAATGCGACGAGTCTCGTTTTTGAATGGACAGCCCTTAGTGAAGTTCACTGAGGTAGAAGTGGATCGCATGAACGCTATAGAAGGCTTACAATATGCTGTGGTGGAAAAATTTGCGTATGGATGGCCAGAATTGCAAGAAATTTGCCGCATTGTACCTGCTCAATGTGGAATCAAGGGAGAATGTAATATTGGATTGCTAGAGATAGGCATGTTCTTATTCGACTGACTTTATGGCAAGACTTCATTGATTTTACGTCGAAAGGTGGCTATTATGTTAAGGATAAAGCTGGCTATGTATATCAGTTGCGACCTCTCATCTATGATGCTAAGTTTAAGGCTGGGGAAGAGACTCCTATGGCTATGGCATGGATCTCTTTTCCAGGTCTGTTACCAACGTTTTTTGTTAAAGAATGTTTATTTTCACTTGCTTCAGGTGTTGGTAAACTACTTCATCATGATATGGCTACGATCAATAAGACACAACAAGGTTGTGCACGAGTAAAGGTACTTGTTGATTTATTAGTTGATCTTCCTAAGAAGGTGCGAATGGATATTGAAAACAAGGCTACTGGTGAGACAAGGACTGAGTGGGTTACAATTAAATATGAGATATTGCCCAAGTACTGTAAACAGTATCGATTGCAATGATATGAGGAGACTGAATAAGGAGCCTTTGATGATCCTTTCAAGTGGAAAAGTAGTTGGGAATGTCGGTGAGCAATGAAAAGAAGTAAGGTATAATCGAGTAAAGGAACTGGACAGCAAGGTGAGGTGCAAAAAGCTGGACAGCAAGGTGATGTGCAGAACCAAACTGGGAAGGAAATTGTTCCTGTTGTTAATGAGCCTCATAGACTAACAAATTTGCAGTCTTAGAGATAGTGAATGTGGAGAAGGAAGATGACAATCAGTTGGCTTTGGTGGAGAAATCAGCCTTGCAAACTAGTCCTAGACCTACTCCTAACAAGACTGGGAGATTGAATCCAACAGTAGTAGTATTTAATCATGCAATAACTGGGACAAGTTTGGTGGAAAAAAGAAAAACTCCTAGTCCTAAAAAAGCTGGGAATGGTACAACAGAAGGAGAAAAAGGGAATCAACGGCTCAATGGGTTAATAGGACTTTTGTTCCTACAAATTCAGCTCAAAACAAGAGGACAATGCTAACAGTGTTAACAAGGAGTAGCAGGGAGCATATCTGCCTCACTTGGTTACTACAAATCAGTCTTGCCGAGAAGTGCCTTCACAGTCTTTAGCTAAAGGAAATATTCAGTTAGGTAGATTGTGGAGTGGTCAAATGGAAGAGGAATCTGAAGAGAAGGAGAATTTCACACTGATGAAGAACAGGTGGATGAAGAAGGTGATAAACAATCCTGCAGGGAAGATGTAGATGAGATGGTGAAATTTGTAGCTGAGGGAAACCAGAATGATGGTGAGCAGTCAGTGTTGAAGAAGATTGATGGAAATGCTAAACCTGTTAAAATTAATGAACTTAGCCCTAAACCTAAACCCAAACCACCAGATAAAACACAACCTAAACCAGCCATTCAAGATAAGAATCCCAATCCAAACCCTGTCTTCCTTGATATATCCTTAGCTCCAGTAAATCCTAACATACAAAACAATGATAATATCATCCCATCAGAGAGACCTGTATCATTTGTAGCTCCAGTAACCAAAAAACCTCCTAAAGGCAACATTGCCTTAGCTCCTAAACATGTGAAGACTCAATTGGTTAAACAGCACAAGAATGATGAACAAGACACTAACGGGAAGAAGGATGGACCAGACATGGATAAGGAAACCATTGAACAGAACTTCATGCACATAGCAAGACAAGGTAATCTATCCCCTAAAGTGATGGATAAGGTGAAATGAGCTGGCAAAGGCAAGAAGAAACAGCAAAAGGAAAACACCTGTGTCCCAGGTACTGGTGTTCAAACAAGGAGAACAGTTTCCAAATCGATTGTTTAATCATAAATGCCATCATTTTGAATATTAGATCAGTGAACACACAACAAGCCTTTGAAAGTATTATTACAATGCATAAACAACACAAATTTAGGTTTGTGGGACTAATGGAACCAATGCAACAATCGAGAAAGCTTGAAAGATACAGGAGCAGACTTGGTTTTGCACAAACTTTTGTAAATTTTTCTAACAAAATATGGGCTTTTGTTGATGATGGATTTGAGGTTATGGTATTATTAACATGCCAACAGCTCACTTTTAAGGTTGACTGAGATCAGTACTCAACAAGAAACGATTCTCACGCTAGTATATGCCTATGCGATCATATTGAGCGTATAGAACTGTGGGATACTTTATATGCTTTGGCAAGTGATATGATTGTTCCATAGATTGTTGGTGGGGATTTCAGTGTAATATGGGATGAGGAGGAGAAGTTTGGAGGTCTGCCAGTCCCTTTGAATGAAGTTGATGACTTTAGGCACTGTATTAACACTTGTAATCTCAATTATCTTGGATTCAAGGGAAGCATATTCACATGGTGGAATGGTAGGGCTGAAGAGGACTGCATTTTCAAAAGGTTTGATTGAGTTTTGGCCAATATGGAATTCCAGCAGCTATTTCCAGGAGTGGAAGTAACTCATTTGTCAAAAATTGGCTCCGATCACTGTCCTTTATTGATTAAGTGTGATCCAAATCACACGCCTATTAAGAAACAGTTAGGTTCCTGAAATTTTGGACAGAACATACTACCTTTCAAGATGTTGTGAAGGAGAATTGGCTTGATGAGAATATGGCTAAATTTCACGCTAGTTCTTTCACTATCTTCAACAATAAACTGACGAAGTTGAAAAGAGCATTGTCAATATGTAGTAAGGCTACATATGGGGATATATTTCAAAAAGTTGCAAGTTTAGAAGAGGTGGTTTTGGTGCATGAAGTACAGTTTGAGCTTAATCCCACGAGACTGAATAAGGAAAGGCTAAATAAAGTGCAAGTAGAACTCATTCGATATTTAGCTCTTGAAGAACAATTTTGGAGGCAGAAGGTAGGTTTAGCATGGTTTAAAGATGGGGATCGCAACACCAAATTCTTTTATGCTCAGGTGAATAGGAGAAGGAAAAGATTGCAGTTAAAAAAGATTCAGAACAGTGAAGGCAACTGGATAGAGGGGAATGACCAAATGGCTGGGGAGGCTGTAAAGTTCTTTCAATCTCAATTTCATGAAGAAATGGTGCCTACTACTTTTGGGATAATCGATCATGTCCCTAGCATGATTTATCTAGAGTAGAACCAGGTTCTACTTGAACAACCAACAAAAGAAGAAGTGAAGCAAGATGTATTTGGATTAAATAGAGACAATGCTGGGGGTCCGAATGACTTCACAGGTAAATTCTTTTATCACTGTTGGGATATTGTAGGAGATGACGTGTTTGCTACGGTCAAGGATTTCTTTAATGGTAGGGAGTTACCTAAGTTTATCACTCATACAAACTTAGTGTTACTACCAAAGAAGAAGGAAGTGAATACTTTTTCACACTTGCGACCAATAAGTCTTAGCAATTTTATTAACAAGGTGTTCTCGATGGTCATTCATGAAAGAATTGCTACACTACTGCCTTCTTTGATTTCTGATGAGCATGATGGGTTTGTTAAAGGGAGGAGCATTGTGGAAAATATATTGCTGACGCAAGAAATAATTACTCAAATCAGGCTAAGAACCAAGGTAGTTCCAAATGTGGTGATCAAATTGGACATGAAAAAATCATATGATAGGCTTTCTTGGTTATTCATGACTAAAGTATCGAGAAAGATGGGTTTCTCTGAAAGATTTATTGGAATAGTGTTCGGCATTTTCTCCTATAATTGCTATTCTGTGTTAATGAATGGACAACCCTATGGATTCTTCAAATCTACAAGAGGAGTCAAGCAAGGTGATCCCCTATCACCTACTTCGTTTATTTGTCTGCTGAAGCATTGTCGAGGGGTCTCAATGCTCTACATCAGAATTTGTATTTCTGTGGATTTGGAGTGCCAAAATGGAGTCCCAAGATTAATCATATTGCTTATGCAAATGATACCATCATCTTTTCTTCCTCTGATGAAACTTCCTTACGCTTGATTATGGAGGTGTTGATGGCTTATGAAATTGCTTCTGGATAGCTTATTAATAAAGCAAAGTCTGCGGTCTACATGCATCACTTAACCAATATGGAGGTAGTGAACAAAGTGCATAGGGTAACTGGTATTTGAAGGCAGGATTTACCATTCACTTACCTAGGGTGCCCCATATTCTATGCAAGGACGAAAGTGGAATACTATCAGGACTTAATGAAGAAAGTGCTGGATAAGATGCAATCGTGGAAAGGGAAGTTGTTATCAATTGGAGGTTGGGCAGTGTTAATAACTCATGTACTTCAATGCATGCCTATACACCTGCTATCAGCAATGAATCCACCATCATGTGTCATCAATAAACTCCACAAAATGTTTGCTCAATTCTTTTGGAGTAACACTATAGGAGGTAAGGCAAGGCATTGGGCATCTTGGTGGAACTTTAGAACGAAACCAACACTTTGAAGTTCATTCATGAGCCAAAAATATTGTAAGAAGATTAATGCAATAGTGGTGCCATGGAGAAATGGATCACATGTTTGGAGGAAAATGCTTGATTGTAGAGATGCAATTGAACATCAGATCATATAGTAGCTGTTGATACCCAATTTTTTCCAAAAATATTTTTTAAATTGCATATATACCTTCAGAATGATGCAGCAACAGCAATTGGTATTTTTCCATAATTTTTTTATATTTTATTAATTTACCCAGCATTTTATTTCCAATAGATAATTACAGAATTGCATCACAAGCGATTTCAAAAGCATTTCTTGATTTAATTTATTATTTATGGTCCTATTTAAACCAAATTATTTCATAATTAGCCAAATTGGCATCGTTTGGCTACAATTGCAATAACTTTGCAATTATAGCCCAAGCATATGATTTTGTATTATTTTTTTACCAGAAATTAATCATTTGTATTTTAAAATATTAAATAATCATTTTTAATTATTTTCTGTGCATGAAATTCATTTTATATAATTATTAGCTATTTTGTAAACTATTTTAATTAATTAGAATTTGTTATTTAACAAATAGCCTAATTTCATTTCAATTCTAGCCTAAATTAAACCAGACCCAAACCTGATTAAATCAGCCTAATACCCCTAAGGCCCAATCCACTATCCTACCCAACCCAATCCCTATTTAATCTAGACCGTTGATCAATTTTGATCAACGGACCAGATCCATCCTTACCTTAATTAACCTAATAGACTACCCCCCCCCCTCCCAAACCCTCATTTCCCTCTCATTCTCTCCGTTGTTACATCTCTTATTCTCTCAAGCTCTCTCTGCTAAAACCTAAGCTTCTACTCGTCGGTCGTTGGCTCACCGGTATCAATGGTGGTTCCACCACCACCCCTAGCCTCCATGGCTCTCCCCCATGCTGGATTATTGCTACCCTAAGGCTCTCAAAGGACCAATGGCCGTTCGACTCACACCTAGGGTCTGTGCTCACCGTTCTCGGGCCACCCTTGGCCCGTCTGAGTAAGATTTTTCTATTTTCCGGTTAGATCCATGGCCTCTTAGCCGGAATCTCTCCATCTCTGGGGTATCTCTCTCTGAAACCCTAACTCATCTCTAGACTCTTCAGATCTGCCATAGATCTGAGTGTATTTTGAGTTTTTTTCGCTGTTTTCTTAAGAATCTCTCCGGTTTTTCAAAAGCGCCTTTTCATCTTCAAACTAGGGTTTCTTAACCCCTTTTCAAAATGACTTTTCCTCTGATTTTCAGCATTATTATATCATTTTTACTATGTTTACATGGTTTATTTAAGTTTTTCCTTTTATCTGATTCATTATGTTGAAAACCCTAAATTTCCTAGTTCTAATCCTAGGTTTCTGAGTTTGTTTGTTGTAAGGCCCCGTGAAAATTTTTACTCAAAACCCGAGAGCTCGTAGTGCCAAGTTAGGAATATGTGTTAGAAATTTTGTAAAATTCCTCGCGGCGAGCAAGCTTGCCGCCGTTCAGACCCTTTGGATTGATGTATGCATTAAAAAAGTCAAGGAATAATGTTTTCCAGAAAAATACGATATCGCCGCGGTTCGGACCCTTTGGATTGATGTATGCATTAAAAAAGTCAAGGAATAATGTTTTCCAGAAAAATGCGATTTTGCGGTCTAGTATGCAGTCGAATAACAGCTATGCGGACCGCATAGTTGCCGTAGAGTGAAGCAGTGTGTTGGTCAATTTTGAGGTCAACTATGCGGCCACATATGTGATCGAATAATCAATATGCCCTTGGAATTTTGCGAGGGGCAGTTCTGCGGTGCATTATGCGACCGCAGAACAGGTATGCGGACCGCATTTCTGTCGCATACCAGACAGTGTGTTCAGGTTTTGGGACCATTTTTGCGGTCCATTTTGCGGGCCGCATGTCAGTTATGCGATTGCAGATTTCGTCGGAGCTCCTATTTTCTAACTTTTAAAACCCGACCCCATCCTATTAAAAGCACCCCATTAGACCATTTTCTGTTATTTCACTGCATATAGAGTGAGAGAGGGAGTTCTAGAGTGAGAGGGAGTGATCTTCATCAAGTCCCCACTCAACCCTTGCCCCAAATCCTTGAAGATTGTCTAGTGAAATTGCTAGGTCTTCACCCTAAGAGGTAAGAACTTGTACCCTCACCTATAATTTCGAAATTTCTATTAAGGCAAGTGATTAGCAAGTGTGTTCATGGGTATAAGAGTTGATAATCTTGCATGCATAAAAGATGATGGGGTATTGGGAGGTTGTGAACTAAAAAGATAACAATTGTGATATAGGATGATGAAAATCTCTCACAAAGGGGTCCTAGAATCACTATGCACACTTAGTGCTTGCTAATATGCTCAAATGAGCTAGAATCCTAATCATGTCTCTAATTCTTGGTTCAATTTGCAATTCTTATAAAATAGATTGAAGTGCTAAGAGTCCCGAAATTTATTATAAAGGTTTAAGGGAAGCTCCGTTGAGGTATGTATGGCTAAAACCCCCTCCTATTAGAAATTGAGCTTCCATGGTGCCCGTGTAAATGTTGTAAGTTCGAAACGTGATTGATGCAATACTTGTTATGTTAAGTGAATTATTGTTGTGAAAATGTATGTGGTAGGTACTTCTTCATGTGTATAATGTGTTATTCTTTGTAAATGTAGGATGTGTGGAGAACATGATCTATGTGCTAAATGCTAAATGCCATGCCAAGGTTACTTTGGGACTAATATGCCAAACTTGACGAATTCCTCTTTATGCTTATGACTAAAATTGCTTTTGTATGTGCCTATGATCTTAAGCGGCAAAGTAAATGTTGAAATTGGGAATAACGTGAAAGGTGAGTTATGGAATGTGGTAATTGTGTCCCCAAGTGCGGGAAACTAATACATGTGTAACCAAAGATTGGAGTGAGATGAATAACGGAGAATGGTAACGTCTCGGGGAGACGGCTTAGCCGATCGGGCCGTGATCGGACGCCATGATATATGCACATGGTGGTAATGTATTGATGATTGAAACTGGAAAGTGTGAATGAAATAACGGTAACGTCTTGGGGAGATGGCTTAGTCGATCGGGCCGTGATCGGACTCCGCTCAAGGAAGAGGTGGCAATATGGATAATGATGCAACAGTGTGGGATGCTCCAATCTAAAATTTCAGAAACTATGTGAAAATCATGTGAACCTCCTTATATTGTTGACATGGTGATTATCTGAAACTTTGTGTCTTTATAATTTCCTCTTTACTCTTGTATGGTTGTTCTTTCTAGCAGGATGGTGTTTAGTTATACATACTAGTACTATTCCATGGTACTAACGCCCCTTTTGCCGGGGGCACTATATTTTTTAAATGAATGTAGGTGGCTCCATAGCGGATAGTGCCGATCACGTTTAGCGGAGCATCCTCCTCTCAATGTCTTGGTGAGCCCCTTCCTCCTTCAAGGGGTTATGTTGTACATCTTTTGTTAGATATTCCCTTTTGAGGTATAGCCGGGACCTTGTTGCCGGTGTTGTCATTATTGTCTTTTGTATCCTTAGAGGCTCCGTAGACATTTGTGTGGGTTATGTACGGATATTGGATAGGTCAATGAACCATGTTGTAACTTTGTACTCTAGCTCTTCTAAACCATAACTGTATGAAATATTGAAAGCTTAACCATGGTTTAAGGATTGTAGCATAAAAATGGTTTAACAATGTGAATGTTCAACTTTTGCTAATGTCTAAATAATTGATAGGGAGGTTCCCTTAACCGTAATGACTTGGGGTAGAAAAGTATTAGTAAGGCTTGCTCAGTTGGGATCCACTCGATTGAGCGCCGGTCGCGCCTCCCGAGGTTGGGGCGTGACATTTGTGATAAATATGTTCAACTAATCTGTATGTATCTCATGAACATTCTGTGATTTTATGATTTTTGCCCTATGTTTGCTTGTCAGGTTTATTGACTTCGACTATTCCTGCCTATTATGTGTTTACTCCCAGAAAATTTGTGGTTATTTTCTCTCATCAGTACCATCTCTTGCTTTGAATCCCGGAATTATGTTATTCTTTACCCTATTCTTGTATGTGTTATGTTTGCTTCGTTTAGTTGCGATATTTTCCTTTGGTCATTGTTACCTTCTAAGGGAATCCCTGATTCCCTGTGATTGGTATACCATGTTCCCTACTGACTTCAACCTCTAAATATTTTGTTGGCTTATTTTGTGGTTGATTATGCTGTCAAATTGATTCTTAGACATTTTCCTTAATTAGAATTTGTCGAACCTAGCCTCTATTACATGCTTTATAATATGCTTATTTCCTTATGTGTCATGATTATTATTACATGATTTCGTCCCTTATTTTATTACTGCTTGTTACCGTTTGAATTTTAAACTCCTTAATTAAAGGAAGTACCTAGACTGAATTGATACTAATTGATACCTAGTTCCATAATTATTGCTGAACTTTGATTCTTGCCTTAGTTTCTACCTGTTTTCAAACTATAAGTACCCTGCTTTTCATTAACACAACACACGAACACATTGGTTCAAAAACTCTCTCTCACACAAAAAAAATACTCTTCTCCTCTC